GAAGCAGTAATTAGGCTACTGAGTACAGTCCTTCATCTGTACGGAACAATAGGCTGCTAATCATGTTTGCACACTGACTGTGCACATTAACAGCAGGGGCGGAAGAAGACATGAACTACTTTGCAAATCAAAGTTCAAATACTACTGCATGACTAATTTTCAACAAAGGATGTATTAAAAATACTGAAGATTACACTTAACAATAGATTTTTTTCAGACAGACAGACAGTTGATGGATAGACAGACAGACAGAAAGACAGACAGTTGATAGATAGACAGTCAGGCAGACAGACAGACAGACAGTTGATAGATAGACAGACAGACAGATAGACAGACAGTTGATAGATAGACAGACAGACAGATAGACAGACAGTTGATAGATAGACAGACAGACAGATAGACAGACAGTTGATAGATAGACAGACAGACAAACAGTTGATAGATAGACAGATAGACAGACAGACAGACAGTTGATAGACAGACAGACAGACAGACAGTTGATAGATAGACAGACATACAGACAGTTGATAGATAGACAGACAGACAGACAGACAAATAGATAGATAGACAGACAGTCAGTTAGATAGAAAGACAGAAAGACAGATAGACAGATAGACAGACAGTTAGATAGATGGACAAACAGACAGACAGACAGACAGACAGATTGACAAACAGACAGGCAGTTAGATAGTCAGTTAGATAGATAGACAGACAGACAGACAGACAGATAGATAGACAAACAGACAGACTGTTAGATAGTCAGTTAGATAGATAGACAGACAGACAGACAGATGATAGATAGACAGACAGACAGACAGATGATAGATAGACAGACAGACAGACAGATGATAGATAGACAGACAGACAGACAGATGATAGATAGACAGACAGACAGACAGATGATAGATAGACAGACAGACAGACAGATGATAGATAGACAGACAGACAGACAGATGATAGATAGACAGACAGACAGACAGATGATAGATAGACAGACAGACAGACAGATGATAGATAGACAGACAGACAGACAGATGATAGATAGACAGACAGACAGACAGATGATAGATAGACAGACAGACAGACAGATGATAGATAGACAGACAGACAGACAGACAGATAGATAGACAAACAGACAGACTGTTAGATAGTCAGTTAGATAGACAGACAGTTAGATAGATGGACAGACAGACGGACGGACGGACAGACAGAGAGACAGATAGACAGACAGACAGACAGTTGATAGATAGACAGACAGTTAGATAGTCAGACAGACAGACAGTTGATAGATAGACAGACAGTTAGATAGTCAGACAGACAGACAGTTGATAGATAGACAGACAGTTAGATAGTCAGACAGACAGACAGTTGATAGATAGACAGACAGTTAGATAGTCAGACAGACAGACAGTTGATAGATAGACAGACAGTTAGATAGTCAGACAGACAGACAGTTGATAGATAGACAGACAGTTAGATAGTCAGACAGACAGACAGTTGATAGATAGACAGACAGTTAGATAGTCAGACAGACAGACAGTTGATAGATAGACAGACAGACAGACAGACAGTTAGATAATCAGTTAGATAGATAGACAGACAGTTAGATAGACAGACAGACAGGTAGACAGACAGATAGTTAGATAGTCAGTTAGATAGACAGACAGATAGATAGATAGACAGACAGACAGACAGACAGACAGACAGACAGACCATCATTGCAGCTCATTAGTACATGCATTCATGAGTGTTTTGGTGTATTTTGATTTCCTTGCTCAGATTGACACTAACATAATTTCACATTTGCCTCGCTGGTCGAAAACAACGGATGGTCTGAAAGGCACGGAGTAAAAGTGGCTGTGCTGGTGAACGGTGTGACATTTCCAGAGGCCTAAGAACATTTAAGATATATGCCAGGAAGACAAATGAATGACCGATGTGAAGATAACAACATACTGCTTTGCTTCTTGGACTGCAGAGCTAAAATTTATGCCCTAACAGCAAGCATTACAAAAATCATGTTAACTTGGTTTGTATTGCAAGCCCAAGGGAAGCATCCGCACAAGACTTTCATGTGTACCAATGAGGGCTCAAAGCTCACCAGTGGACTGTTTGCTTTTCCAACAATGCATCATGATAATGTCAGTGACAGTTTTATTAGATGAAGTCTTCTGTGATGGATTTAGTGAATTCTGGATGAGTAAAAGCAGAAATAAAGTGTGCTCAGCTGTGCTGAACATGACATAACAGCCTATGATTAATGCACCACAAGGCCCTTGTTGTGCTCTAACTGTAAATGAAATTTAATCACAAATTCCTCTCTCAACTTGAAATAGTTCACCCCAAAATGAAAATTTGGTAAAAATTTACTTGCCTTCGGGCCATCCAAGATGTAGATGAATTAGTTTTTTCTTCAGAACAGATTTCTAGAAACTTAGTATTATATCACTTGTTCACCAATGGATCCTCTGCAGTGAATGGGTGCCGTCAGATTGAAAGTCCAAACAGCTGATAAAACATCCCAATAATCCACAAGTAATCCACACAACTCCAGTCTTGTGAAGTGAAAAGCTGACATTTTTAACCCAAACCAATGCTTCCGGTTGAAATCCTGTAATGTAAAAATCTGTAATATTGCTTTCTTTAGTGAAAAAGTCATCTCATGTGAATCAGGAGAGAAATATGCACAGATCAAGCACCATTTGCAAGTGAAAACAGTCCATGTTAGTGGATTTTGATGTGAGAGACAACAGGAAATTGACTTTTTCATTGGAGGAAGCATCATTATCTATTATGGACTTTGGAAGTGATGGTTGACTTTGCAAAAAACGGTATGGGACAAGTATGTGCCAAAATGTAATACTAGCGTTATTTTAGTAGTAGTATTGCAGCATGGCAAATCTAGTTGCCAAATGTTATTTAAATGTATAAGAGGCTTAAATGTATTACAAACCTAAAAATGATTAAATTAGTAAGCACACAGCAAAAAAAATCATCCACTCACAAAATTAAATCACCTTCATGTTTGGCCAGCTTGGCCAGGTTGCAGCAAAGCTTTTGTAAAAGACTGCAGTCATTGTCAAGCAACATACAAAAAAATGCAGTTTAAAAAAACGGAAAAGTGCAGTTTCTCAACTTTTCTCACCTTAACCTCATATGCTAATTTCTTTCTTTGACCATTGTGTTATTTCCATGGCATTAACATACTCCCATGCCTGTCTGCAGCATGTTGCCATGCTGTGGGGAGTGCTGACATCTTGCAGCTGCCCTGTCAATGACCACTTTCACAGGAAGCTAGTGGATCTTCCAGACGCTAGAAACTGTCACTTGAGCTAATTATGCCTGTGAATTCTGTGTAAACAGCCCTGAGAACAGTTTCTCAGTTCCTGTCCAGTGGACCTACTGTCCTCTCACTTTATCCTCTTCTTTTACTGTATCAGCTAGTGCACGTTATTCCATATGAAAATAAACACTTGTCTTTGTATTTCATAATCACATCTATAGTCAAAGTCACATTCCTATATGAATAGGAACGTCATATGCACTGCCGATAAAAAGTTAGGTATTTTTTTAAGGAAATGTATAATTTTATTCACTTTTATAAACTGATGAAAAGTGACAGTAAAACTTACATCCTGAAAAAAATATCAGTTTCCACAAAAATAGGAAGTAGCACAACTGTTTTCAACATTGATATTAATAATAATAGTTTCTTGAGATCTGCACATTAGAATGATTTCTGAAGGATCATGTGACATTGAAGACTGGAGTAATGATGCTGAAAATTCAGCTTTGCATCACAGGAATAAATTGCATTTTAAAATATATTCAAATAGAAAATTGTCATTTTAAATTGTAATAATATTTCAAAATATTGCTGTTTTTACTGCATTTTTGAGCAAATAAATGCAGTCTTGGTGAGCAAAAGAGACTTCTTTCAAGAACATTAAAAACTTTGTAATGGTAGTGTGTATATATATTTGTTCTCAAATGGAATAGAGAGGTGGCATTTAATGCAAGACAATGAAGCTCTTTTTAGTAATTGAACAAGGAAAAGTGATATTTAATTATTTTTATATGCCAACATGAAAATACAACATTAATCGATAAAATTGACTTAGTGTATACAGTTTTTTTTTTTTATAAAATCATTTTAATATATGAACAAATTCAATACAACCACAAGCAAATTTTGTGTGATGGCACCAAATAATCTTTAAATCAGATTTGGAAACAGTTTGAACTGATTCATGGAAATGAATCAAACTTACCAACTCTTGTGCTGTTTTTACACACTCTCAGCATCGTTAGTCTGACGCACAGCAGTCTGATATCATCCGATATCATTTCAATGTGAGAAATGCACATTTGAGGGAAATCTAGGTTGAGCATGACTAGAATAATTTTGTTTTGTTCCTACCTCGTGATGCAGTCGGTCAGAAGTAGTTGAATTATGATCGGCTGCTAAATGTGAGGGCAATTTCAATATGACCCGATTAGCATCATCAGGTTATTGTGGGCCGACCCATTTGATGGATGTTGGCAAAGATGAAAGACACAAGCCTACAGACAGACAGTCCAGATTTTCTCCGCAAGCGATTATCACCATTATGTAATAAATCAATATAATAGATGGCAAAATATCTCATAGCGGTCAGGAAGGAGCATCTGTAAGCGAGCGGGGGAAGAAAACATTGAGGCAGCGAGGTGTTGAGATGTAAATGAATTCATCAGAAATATCTGTCCTTAATCTTGGCAACATTTCCTGGACTTCAAAGGCTGCGGGTCCCCGCAGGAGAGCTCTGAGTCATGCAGTGCTTATTATTTATGCACTTTACCAGATCTGTCAGTCAGCTGCTGGAGAGCAGCCAATTAATAATTTCTCTGTTTTCTTTCTCTCTGCAGCTCTCTTATGCGATCATAGCTCGTTCACACTCCAGACCTTTTCAAAACATGTCAACATGTGCTATTTCTGTCTTTGTTCTCCCTCTCTCACGCAGACTAACAAAGCAGTGACTAAAGGAGACTTTCACCACGCCAGCTCCAGCTCCAGACGTGCGCTCTTCCTCGCCGTACTGTCCATCACCATCGGGACGGGCATCTACGTGGGTGTGGCTGTGGCCCTTATCGCATACCTCTCCAAAAACAATCACTTGTAGCCTTCCCATGCCCAAATCACTCTCACAGTCGGATAAAGACTGGTTCACTTTGGGATCAGCTTCTTTGGGAAACACCCGATGGTCACGATACGGGACTCACCAGCAATGTGTTCCACTCCTGCACTTTTAAAAGTCGCATTCCCATTTCGTTGGGAAGATCATCGTTTGTGTAAATTGTCTTGGTCACTTTTCTGCATTTTCATGTGAACGTGCCGCCACCACAATTGTTTTTTTTTTGTGTTTTTTTTTGCGCTCAGTGTTTGTGCAAGTGCAAATCTAATGCTACACACACACACGTTTTGGGCCAAATTAAAGTCAATATGAAATCAAAATGGACCTGATTTATTTTCTTAATGCATGTTCTTAATCATGCTGAATTCATCAAAATGTATTTATTTGCTCTGCCACTGCACAACTTTCTATTTTTGTCATCAGATAAGTGGCCAATCCAGTCAGTTCCCATTGGATGAAATCAGGGGCCGGTTGCACCAGCTGTGCGCAAGTTACAGCTTAGTCTAATTTTGATGCAAAGGTCTACTAAGTTACAACTTATGGTGTGTGCACACCAAAAGCAAACTTAATTATTCGCACAAGTACATTACATAAAAAGTCAATGCAAACAGGCATATAGACACGAATTTGCGCAGGGCGGCGCGAATGACACAAATTGGGCGGCGCGGTTGTCGTGAAAGCGTGATATTCGCCTCAATCGTGTCTTCTGCAAGTTGTAATATTTCAACTCGAGCGGAAAATTCGCATGATGCATTGTCATGCAAGGCAATCAGCAAAAAGCGTTTTTATTTGTGTGAATAATGCAAAAAACATGCTGCGACTACACTAAAGTGAGTAATGCGATGCAAATTTTGCTTTGCATTTGGTGTGCATACACCATTAGGCAGTAGTAAATATTTTTTGAATGTATAAACTAAAAATGTACTAAATAAGCCTCAGACAAGAAGTAACTGTTGGAATAGAATAGCAGACTGACTGAGTTGCATCAATAAGCTCATGGTTTACCTTACAAACTACAATTCTTTAGACATATGATGTAAGGGCGTTTATTTTTGGGGGATTATTTTAATGATTATTTAACAGTATTTTGCAGAGTGTGTATTTTGTGCTGATCGGTCAGATTATGCCTCTTATGGATAAGTAAATATGACACTAAAGCCTCCAGTAAGTCTTAATGAGTGATTAATTGAATCATTCATTCAAATGATTTGTTCAAAACAGCTGATTCATTCAGAAACAAAGCAAGTAACTGTCTTTATGAATGGATCATTGAATCATTGATTCAAAATGATTCATTCAAAAATAGATTAATTCAGGAACAAAACACTCTGAGATGTAAAAATGTAAACGAAACTATTTTCATTGACGAAACAGGAAAAAAAGACAATTGTGTCTAATGTAATACTGAGTGTATAATAATCATTTAACATGAACTTCTTGTTTGTTGAACGATTGTATAAAATCAATATCACATTTGCGATCAGAGTCACACTCTAATGTTCAAAAAATGGCACACTTGCTTGTGTGATATTACTTAACTCTTATAAATGTCTTATAAAAAGATGTTTTTTTTTTTTTTTTTTTGCCAAGTGAGAGACATTGATAATGTCAGCTCGCACATTGCTAAAACAACAATTACGATACTGCAGACAATACATATTGTACACCCCTAATATGATGACATTTACTCTTGTTTACATTTTGAGAGAACATTATGCGAAAAATATTGTTTACGAACCCAGTGCTTACAACCTACTGGCTACACTCTGCTTTATAGGAACAAATGGTGCAACAAAAATCAAGCACAGAGTTAGCTACAAACTAGCTAGTAGTCACTAAAAATCTAGTGTGGACTTGTTCCCATTTAAGTAAGAACTTACAAACGGCTGGCGTAACCCTACCCAGGCCCAGGTCCCTACAATTTTTGTTTTATTTGGAAACATACATTTAAGTAAATTAAAAGGGGTTAAGAACAAAACTTCATGTTGACTTTAATATTGGTTTGTCATAATAACAGTATTTGGTATACAGATATAATCCGTCTAAAGATCTGAATGGGATCTGAATCCGAATCTGAACAGTCAGAGATTTTTCTTGAATGTTTTTTGGAGTACACGAAGCATCTGTCTGAAGTGCCACAGTGCTTTCAAGCCTTTTTAATAAGAGCTACTGAATCTTAAGGTCTGTGACACATGAAGGGGCATTTTCAACTCTCTTTTGATATTACAGACACAAAATGAACATAAAGCCATATAGATGGGTTGCTCAAGACTGTGCGTGGACTTTTTTCAGAATGTATGGATAAAATCATTCTCGTGGGGCTGTCACATTTAATATTAACTACTCTGTAATTAATTCTTAAGGCTTTCAGTTTATACATGTCAGTCTATGAAGCTGTAAATGCCTCCGCTGTCAGATTTTCTCCTAATACTTTGGGAAACACCTCTTGCCAGCAAGCTCATGCTAATTAAATGTGGTCTTTTCATTCAAATATTGTGTTGGTGTTTGCTGTCAGATCTTTTTATGAACTTTGATGAACTGTTGCAGTTATGTTAATGTATGTTAAAGGAATAATTCACCCTAAAACTAATGTGTGATTTTTTTTTTTTATTTAATTCAAAACGTCTGAATTTCTTTTGTGTAACATAAAAAAGATATTTTGAGAAATGGCTCAGTGTTTGTTTTGTCCATTCAGTCGAAGTCAATGGTCACCAAAACAGTTTGGTTAATAGCATTCTTCAAAATATCTTCTTTTGTGTTCCAAAGAACAAATAAAGTCATTTAGGTTGTATTTTTTCATTTGTTACAGTGTAATTATTATAGTTTTTATAATTACTATAATTAGTGCTATAGGTTTTGATTTAACAGTTAACAAAATGTACAGTTATTATTATAGTAAATACCAATGTTGGGAAGGTTACTTTGAAAATGTAATAGGTTACAGATTACAAGTTAGCTTATTCAAAATGTAATAAGTAATGTATCAAATTACATTTGATAACTTTTTGATAACTTTTCTAAATTTCAACTGTTAATAATTTTCAAACATTTAGGGTTAACCTTACAGTAGTACTCAACGCTGATTACTGTCAGACTTTCAAAATCCTTCATCACTTGACATCAGTTAAGATGATAACAATTTAATTTTAAAGCACAGCCACCACAAATTTCCAGCTCTGGAATGCATTTTTATTACTTTATCACTTTATCAGAAGTAATCCCCTTTGTAATCGTTAACATTTTCGTAAGTATGATTAAATAGGATTAAGATTGGGTTACATTACATAAATGTGGAAAACATGTGACAGTGATTTATTTTGGGGTCAGTTATTCTTTTAAAAGTGTCCAGCTTGATTAGTTTCAGCTCCGTTGTTCTCTGTCCTGCAGTTTTCATTCCTCAGTTCCCATGGGCTGACTGAATAACTAAACACCTGTGCATATTTCATAGCGGCACAGTTTGCCAGAGATATCAGCTAAGCCAATTTATGCATTTTAAATGCAGGGATGCCTGAGGTTAGGATCTCCAAAAATTGCAGCTTTCCTATAAAAGTAGGTGGCTTGGGAAACACTGCTTCTCAATTAAGGGGACTCTCAGGTTATCTGAACAGGATGCTATCTAGTAATAATTAAACCTGTAAAGCCTGACGTGCGATATAATAGTCAGAAAAATCTGATTTTTTGCAATGGAACAGCTTATTGAACCTTTACATTTACACGTGTTTGTTTAGCTTTTATCCAAAGGACTTAAAAATGAGAAATACAACCAGCGTTTCATCATGAAGAGGCAAATAAGATAATACAAAGTTTCAGACATTGTTTAGAGTAGTACAAACGGTCTTTATGTAGACACAATCAATCAATAGCTTTTTTGAGTATCATATTTGATCATCAAGCTTTTATGGCTCATATAGTCCAAACTGAGCAAAAATGTGCTATTTAGTGCCATTGCTGATAATTTTGTGGCCAGAAAGTGAAATTCTGATAGTCTTGTAATGTAAACCAATGTGACTTTTATAGCAGTATAGCATAATGCTTACATAAAATATAAATATCAGTTGTCACTCTACATGTCTCAGTAAGATGAGTAAAACAGCCTAATTTTCATTTTTGAGTGAACTAACCCTTTAATTCAGATCGCAGACTTATAAGTGCATTACCGCTACCTATCTCTCAAATGGACCATTGACAATCTATCTAGAATCTCAATTAGGAGTGTCAGTGGTCCATTTGAGAGATAGGACACGAAACGATTGGTCTGTGCAAGAAACTGAACAGTATTTATATAGTTTTTTACCTCTGATTTTCACCGCAATGTCTGAACTGTCCTGAGCGCGTTCGCTTCTTCTTCTTCAGCTGGCGGACTTAAAGGGTTAGTTCACCCAAAAATGAAAATTAGGCTGTGTTTTACTCACCCCAGAGCCATCCTAGGTGTATATGACTTTCTTCTTTCAGACGAATCCAGTTGGAGTTATATAAAAAATTGTCTTTGATCTTTCAAGCTGTTTAATGCCACTCAGCGGGTGTTGCATGCATCAGTCCAAAAGAAGTTAAATAAAAAGCGCCCATCCATTAAAAAAAGCGTCTCACACGGCTCCGAGGGGTGAACAAAGGCCTCCTGTAGCGCAAAGCCGACCTCATACGTCATTCCCCCGGAACTGCTTCCGGTTACAACAGTGAGCGCAAGCTAGATTAAAGGTTTAATTTGGTTTTGTTTGTGTATGTTTTATTGACTCTCAAAGCCATGATTCCCATTCACTTCCATTATTTGACTGACAGATCATAAATATCTTTGTTTGTGTTCTACTGAAGAAACAAAGTCACCTACATCTTGGATGCCCTGGGGGTAAGCAGATAAACATCAAATTTTCATTTTTGGGTGAACTATCCCTTTAAATGCTTATTTTTATGATCACTGTGTACAATGATGATTGAGAGATGAACAAATAAAATGATGTTTGAATAATCGTGTAAAATTGCTTCAGTCCACTAAGTGTTTATCTGGAATTATTAAAAACAAAATAAAAGTTACTTTTACATTTACTTAAAAAAAAATTATTAAAGATATCGCAGCAAAAAGACACGTGAACCACAACTTGAAGGGAGACGTTTCATGCTAAAAATCATTTTACTTCTTAAAAAGTATCAATCAGACTAGTACTGTATACAACAGGCTTTTCAGTAAAGTTTTGATCATGTTGATCATTAAGAGGCCTTAGAAATTTGCATCAAGTTATCAATTATCATCAAGTGATCAAATATGATACAGTAGGCTTTAGGGTTAATAAAAATCTTAGTTGTGACTATTAGCTGT